TTTGAAGTGGTCATGATAAACAGACTGGTTCTTATACAGCGCTTTCTACTCTACCTGAGCACTCACAGCACTTTATACAACACGCATTCAGCCATGCACACCAGCATGGAACATACAATTCAAATAGTAATACCAGCATGTGATAAAAGTACTGATGATATTCTTCTTTGTTATAAAAAGAACAATGAACTAATCACAATAACTGTGGTTTGGCAGAAATACTGTGTAAGTGTCTGCATATTATATTAAAAAATAAGATAATTTTGTGTAATGTTAGCGTTATTATTAACATGGCCTGTTGGGAGCTGTATCAAATCAGCGCCTGCTAAGTAGGGCTGCCAGAAACGATTATTTTGATAGTCGACTAGTCACCGATTATTTATGCGATTAGTCGACTTATCAGATCATCATCCACTGGACGTAAAACTACAGCTTATTGCACCAGCAGCATCTGCTCTTATATAACTATCATTAGCTTACAGCTTTAAGCTTTTAAGGTGCTAACTAAAAATAAAGACAAGATGATAGTTTATTCAATTTTAATGAAATTTGCAGATTGTTTCGGTAAAGTTTAATAAACTCCTTGCTATCTAAAATATAACAGGACACCGGAGTATATTCTCCAGCATCTCACACTTCTGATAATCAGCTGTCTGCTTGACGTTTATTCAGCTGTGTAAAAACTATAACTTTAATCTCAGCCAAACCGATTTACTCAGGAACAAATAAAATACTAAAAAAAAAAAAAGCCAAACAACAACATTTTTAATTTATCTAAGTGACTCATATATATATTTAACCTGAGTCGCGAAAGACGGCGGTGGGTTTGAAAACAATTTGCCGGGAGTCCGGTGTTCTCACGGCGCTAGTGACCTAGCCCCCGGCTAGCTATCGAGCTAGTGGGTAACAGACGTCTCCGAAAACGTCGGAGCGCTTTTGAAAATATGTGGTGTCCTGATAAACTGAGCCGATATTTGAGGTTTACACAGCTACATTCTCGCCTGAAAATATGTTAAACGTTTATTTTGTGACCCAGAAAGAATAATAAGAGTAATATTAAAACTAACTAGCTACCGCCATTGTTGGAAACTGAGCTGGGCTGCGCTATGAATTCTGGGACACAGCTGCTTCTTCTTCTTCGGGGTTTAACGGCAGCTGGCATCCTTGTACATGCAGTGCTGCCATCTTCTGTTTCAGTCCGTTATTACACTCTTAAATCCTGCTATTATTCCTGCGTCTTTTGCGATCTTACAAAGCTTCAAACGACACGTCGACTATTAAATCAGTCGTCGACGATTTTGATAGTCGACGTAATCGTGACTAGTCGACAAATCGTGGCAGCCCTACTGCTAAGCCACACCTCTAATGGCTGTAACACAACTAAACCACGCCCCCATATTTAGTGTTAATAATATGGCTGGCTGTGCAGGAAATGCTTCCAAAAGGTCGGTTGTCGACATGTGAATCTGTGTGCTGTACAGTCGTGGGTTCAGCTAACCGCCCTGCTAGCATTTCCTAATACCACTGCACAAAAACAAACAACATGCACACACCATAACCACCAACACTGAGGCATCCAAAACCAATGACATCAAAGAAATATAATGCTTATAAATATATTGTATATATATACAGTGGAGTCACGTCATTTAAACACCTGACAGCTTACAGCAACACATATAAAAAATGGCTGACCACCACTTCTAACCCTGCTGGGTCCGTCAGTGTAGACGGACAGGAGTGTGAGCAGGAGGACAGACAGAGAGGAAGTTAGACCCTGACGGTGCACGGGAGGAGGACAGACAGATGGCAGGCCTGCATGTCTAATGATGCTGCGTTTGGAAGGACTTTTAAAGAAGCCTCGGGGCGAGCCTTCGTCAGTCTGCTTGTTACACAAAACATCACGAAAATGGAAACTGATGCTCAAATCACATCAATGCGCGTAATATGTGGATGCGATTTAACCGGACAGCAGTGAGTTGTGAGGCAGCTGCGGGGGACACGCCCATATCTGTGTAATGCTATATGAAGGCCACGCCTAGCTCGCGTCAGCCCGGCATGCCTGGCCTCGGAGCTACGCCGATATTCCGCCTGGAAAGGCGATGCAAGCCGGCTGCTGTTCCCCGGCGACCCTGCGCATACAGGCCGGGAGTGTGTGCGCAGCAGGCCCCGGCGCAGTGTGACACTACGAGCAGCGAGCCCGTGTGTGCACATGCAGACACCCCAGTGCCTTTTTTCTGTCACCCCCCACCCCCCCCTCACATCCTTCTCCTTTCTTTGCACACATGCAGCTTCTAACGGAATTAATTAGCTCTTATTGCAGCGGATGTTAACGAATGGAAATCGTGATGCATTTGTCACAAAACGAAAAAGCTCCGGTGTTCCAGCAGCCAGGAGAAGCCGCTTTAGTGCTTGATCCACAAAGGTTACCGAGAGAGAGGAAAAGGGTGAATGCGGTGCGATGAAGATGCGTTTAGGTGAGCGAGGAATCGGGCTACTTACTGTGCGGATCCAGGGAGGAAAAACCGCAGCCAGCAGCGGGAGACGGGACCGAGGAGTCCGCCGGGAGCTTCTGCGGTGTCACGGTGGACACTTCGCCGGGATTCTTGCCAGTTTTCACCGACTGCCCTTTTCCCAGATAGCCCAGATTCCACTGATTCCCCTTGCTGCCACACTGAATCCCAACACCGCTGCTGATACTGGAGGCTGGCACTCGGATCACTTCCGGCGTGACTTTCACAATAAAACTAGAAAGATGAGCCCTTATTATTATTATTATTATTATTATTATTATTATTATTATTATTATTATTATTATTTAATAACTGACAATAAATAATGATAACATATTTATGTCATATTTATGTGTTTACATTGTAATGATAACTTTGTGGTAGCGGGCTACTCTCTTTTATATTAATTGTAGCTCATTTGCCTTAGGGAAAAAAAGCATTATTATTAGTACTGACATTTGAGAATGCCACTTCTCATGTTTATTTGGCTAGGCTACACAATATTAAACACTTTTAGGTTCTATTTTTTATTTATCTCAATTTAGATTGGATTTTTTTTTTTTTTTGTCATTGTACAAGTTAAACTGAGGGAAATAATCCAGTTCCAGACTCCACACAGACCAGTGTATATTACATAAAAAAAGGAAGTTTTTGTTTTTTCTCTGTATATCAAATTTTAGATTTAAGGATTGAGAATAAAGTGCATATAAGGACCATACAAATAGGAATTTAGCTTTTACTGTGAAGCCGAAAACGCCTCACTTCCGGTATTCTGCAGTTTGACTTGACGCTACACCGGATCCCAAAAAAACTTGTGGGAGCGCGTATCCTCACCCTGCGCGTTCCCGGTGGCTCATTTCCTGTCCTGCCCAACCCTTAAATCAGCCTTAACCAATCGGTGCTGATGAGTTCATTCTATTCTATTCTCATGTCATCTGTTTGAAAAGTTTATAATATAATATAATATAATATAATATAATATAATATAATATAATATAATATAATATAATATAATGGGCTAACATGTACCACACACACACAAAATAGGCACCTGGTCCGATTTAAGAAGCTTTTTACATCCAAGTGTGACCACGTGGTCAGACTTGGATACATCACTGTGTGCATGTGTGCACGCAGTGATGTATGCACATCCACACAAGCTTCATATTTTAATTTACTAAAAGGAGACCCCGACAGGATCAAATAATAATAATATGTTATTTTCTGGTATGTCTGGTAGCTCATATTAACACAACCCAACAATTATTATTATTATTATTATTATTATTATTATTATTATTATTATTATTATTATTTTAAAGGGTCTAACACCTAGCACACTTTTAAAATCAATCATTATATGTACCAAAGAAAAAATATTATGCTTTCTTCAAAGCACGGTCTGCAGGAGGTACGTCAGTTAGCGGAAAACAATCATGGCTCTCTCCATAGGACAAATATGTAGAACTGAAATGAGTTTCCAGAGAGCTCCCTCTAGTGTCAGACTGTCAGACTGCGCTGACTCGTCATTCTGCGCAGCAAAATTCAAAGATCTGTGTGAAAGCAAAGAAAGGCCAGGAGTGCAGAGGGTGCTGTAACACCTGTATCACAGTGTTCAAACACACTCCTCCTTTTGACATTTCTCTGTCAATGTGTGACAGAAAGTTATTAGTTACTGTTTTTTCTGTTTGTACTGCCAAGCATCAGGGGCGGAGCGGGGGGGTGGCTTACTGGGCTTAAGCCCGGGTTGTTTT